GCACGGAGGAATGGACAGTGGCTGCAGCAAGCACACAGAGCCGGGCAAGCACACAGAGACCACACAGAGCCGGGCAAGTAAAAAAACTTTTTTTTTAAAGTATATGTGTAGGCTATATTTGGACCATAAGACACAGGGACTTTTCCCCCCCACTTCTGGGGGGAAAAAAGTGCGTCTTATGGTCCGAAAAATACGGTACATAGCTTAATTACTTGCTGAATGATTAGAAACTATCAATATTACCTGGAAATTAAAAAAAAAATGGGCAAAAAGATTCTGGGCTTGAGTAGTTAGAGAAGTCTCCAGGAAGGAGGTGTAATACATGAGGTGGATCTTGAAGATTGATTGAGTGGTGTATAAGGCTGTGAGGAAGGGGTTAAGCACATCGTAGAGGTAGATTTTGGTGTGAAGAGTTTGAAGAGTGTGTTGAGAAATAATGAAGCAGATGGAGTGGAATGAAAATCAAGCTAAGGATTTGAAATTTAACTGGAGAGAGCATAATCAGACAGTTTATATTTTTAAAGTGGATCAAGTGTAAAGATGAAAGTGATGCTTTCAGGAGAGTAATCTTGCAGATCTGTAAAGATTGGCAGGAAGTGGATCTGTGGAGGGTGTTGGGTAGAGGTGGTCAATGAGGGACAAAAGGGACATCTATAATACTTTCTACAATAAAGATAAAAGTTTAAAAATAAAATCAGTAAAAACATTTAAATTTTTTTTCAAAAAAAAATAAATAAGTAAACCCAGGTAAACCTCATGAGGTCATCTGAAAGGAAATATAGGATGAAGAACAATTTGTTTGTTTGTTTGTTTGTTTAGTTTAATCTTCACCCACTAGTGTTTTGTTTTGTTTTGTTTTTTAATTTTAGAGAGTGGAAGAGAGAGGGAAAGACAGAAATATCGATATGAGGGAAACACATAGATTGGTTGCCTCCTGCATGTGCCTGGCCAGGGCCTGGGCTGGGGAGGATCCTGGACTGAGGTACATGCCCTTGACTGGAATCAAACTTGGGGCCCTTTGATTCACAAACCGATGTTCTATCCACTGAGTCAAATGGCTAGGCCCAACCTGGGCTTTTAGTTCATAAAGACCATGGTTAGAATTTTTCTTTTGCCACTTGTTATTTCCATTTATGGATAAGACTAGAGGCCCAGTGCATGAAAATTCTTGCACTGGAAAGGGGGTCTCTCAGCCAGACCTGACCCCTGTCACACTCTGGGAGTCCTCAGGGATGGGAGGCAATCCAGCAATCAGGAGAAGGCAATGCCTCCATCACATCTCTGCTGCTGCTGCCACTTCCAGCAGCTCAAGCCTCAGCCAACCCTGGTTACCTAAGCTGTGGGCGGCCCTAGGTGGCTGGACATCTGACATCTAAGGCTTGCCTGCACCTAAGGCCAGCCCTGGGCGGCTGGGCAGCTGACATCTGAGGCTTGCTTGGGCAGCTGATGTCCAAGGCTTGCCTGAACCTCAGGCTGGCCCTGGGTGGCTGACTGCCTGAAGGAACTGGGGGAATCTAGAGGCAGGCATCCGGAGTGGCCAGACTTGCCTGGGGGCAGGTCTGGGTGGGCCACATGCCTGCCACCTGGGCAGGGCTGAGAAGACTGGGCACAGCCATCTTGTGGCTGTGGGTGCCACCTTCTTTGAGGGTGTGGCAGTCAATTAGCATATTTCTTTCTTATTGGCTGTGGGCACTGCCATCTTTTTTGAGGGTGTGATGGTCAGTTTGCATATTCCTTCTATTAGCTATAATTTACATAACTAGCCAATGGGATTGTTAGTAACAAAAGGGTTATGAACGAGTTTAGTATAGATTAAATGCTTGGTACTGTGCTAGGACCTTCAGTGAGAGGTATTTTCAATGCTACTTCTACTGCTACTATTACATCTTTATTTGATAGATTGCAGTTATAATAAAGATTGGAGCTGGGGAACCTTAATTATAAATAGGCCTATTCCTATCACTAATGTATATAAAGGACACAAATGGAAACATGATATTTTTTTACATACTTAAATGTTGTAAGTCAACTAACTGTTAAGATGTGGTTTTTCCTCCTAATTTTACAAGTACAGCTTTAAATGTGATGGATAACCATTTAGTTTTTTCAGGTTTTTCAGTTCTGTGGTAGAACGTAGTGGCAAAGGGAAATGGCCTGCTGTCAGCTCTTCTGTGCCTTCCAGTGTACCTCCCTTTCCTCGTACCCAAGGCTCTTCTTTGCCATGGCATGTCCACATGCTCACTCCACGAGCATCCTTGCCTCATCCCTTATAAGCTGTCTCTTGACTACTCCTAATGCCTCCATCTTCATCTTCCCTAGGATTGATAGTTCAGGGATCTACAATACATGGGAATTCAGGGTCCTGGGAGTCTGCTGAGGTAGATTGCAGGAGTTGGAGAGCCTGGCCCTGGGCTGTGCAGACTTTTCACTGCAGGAGGATATACCTGGCCAGTGGGCCAAAGTGGGTTCTCTGTAGTGCCAGTCTCTGGGCAGTGGCTCCTCTCTCCTAAGTCTCAGGGTGGTGCTGAAATGGATCATTTGACAGGAGTACCAATTTAACAGGACTTGTTTACTATTAGTTGTGAGGTCTGAGAAAATTATGGTGGAAAAGTGAAAGATCTCTGGGTTCCAAGAGAATGATACAGCCACCGAGAAAGTTAGGACAATACGTGGGAGCAGATGAGGCGGGACCTAAATGCAAAATAGCTGTGTTTTCTTCACCATTGTATCCTAATCAACTGGTAGCGCATTGCCAAGCACATTGCAGTGATGCAATAAATTGTTAAAGGGCAAGATGAAGATATTTTGAATAGCTGTGCCAGAGATGTGAGGGGGAAAAATCATTGTAGAATATAGGAAGAAATGAGGAAAATAAGTTCTCCTGGGGCCAGAGTGGAGCTTTGAGGGCCAGACCATCTTTTAAATTGGTATGGTAGTGTGTCAGCTACCTGAGCATTTGGACCATGTATATTTAATATTTGGTATGTATGGTACTTAACATAGTTGTGATATCCTTAAATGAATAACTTAATAATATATGAGGACAGGCTTTAAGCAATGAATTGGATTTTAAGGTTAAAGTGATAAATGACGAAGACAAATTTGTATCATCAGTGAACTGGTGTGGTCTCTAAGGAACTTGTCAGAATTCAAGAAAAGAGATCTTGAGCAATTTTGTTAGTATCAGAATGAGGTAGTGAAGGATGTATTCAAAGAGAAGGTATTACTTGTAACTTGTTTGGAGAGGAGTAGAAAATGCAGATAACTGTATAATAGCTTGAATTTTCTAACTTGATATTCACATAATAAATTTAAATACAGGGAGCTTACGGTAGGTAGAATTTTCATAGAAATAGGTATGTATAATTCATAGTCATTTTGCTCAAAGTTGTTCTAAAGTATTGTTTAGTCGTTTAGTGTATAATAAATGTGTACAATAATAATATCTCATGTCAAAAAACATATATTTCATAATGACAGTAAAGTAACAATACCCTATGATAATAATTCTCTTTTGATAATTCTGGTCTGTTAACTAGCAGATTATTGCATTTTTGCTGTATTCAGAAAACACCTGTGATTATTTTAGGATATTTATCTTGTCTTGTTCAAGTAACCCAAATATGTGTATTTAGACAGTTGCCTGTTCATATATACTCAGCTGTACCTGTTTGCTTTGTTATTTCTCTAAGTTTAATGGACCAACATAAAAATTTATGGCAACTATTGCTTAATGTCATCTTTACCTTTAAAGAAAAAAGAAAACAAACAAAACTAAATCATGCTGAACAGCTATGATGATGTTTATGGTTGACTACAGGATCAGATATATTCTATTAAGTTGATTTTTGATACTATGGACCATATTTAGGGCAAAAAAGATTTAACATATAGAAATAAATACAATTAAGTACCTGTTTGTATAGCAATGTTACCCTAAATTGACTTTATGAGCCAATAAAAATCAATTGCTTAAAATAACCTTTTGTTCTCTCCTAAACAAAGACCTCTTTAAAAAATTTTCATAAAACTGAGTAATTATGCATGTCTTATTAGTTTCCTGACGTTTGTATTCTGCTTATGCATCTTACTTATTTTTAAGAAACAAATCTCACTTAAAAAGGAATGAGCAAAGGTGTGTCAGCTGCTAATCCATTTTCACTTTTACATCTCTGTATACAAGAAATTAGCAGGCTGATTCTCAGAATTGCTTGGTCTTTCATCTTTACAACTTAAACATTTTTCTCTTGTTGGTATTATTTCTCTCTAGTTGGTTTGACTCAGTGGATAGAGTGTTGATCCACAGACTAAAGGTACTGGGTTTGATTCAAATCCTGTCAAGGGCACGTACCTCGGTTGCAGGCTCAATCCCAGGCCCTGGTCAGGATGCGAACTGGAGGCAACTAATCAATGTGTCTCTCTCACATGGATGTTTCTCTCTCTCTCTCTCCCCCTCTCTTCCACTCTCTCTAAAAAATAAAAATAAATAGAAAAATATCCTCTGGTGAGGTTTAACAACAACAACAAAAATCAATATTTAAATGTATAAATTTTTCTAAGTTTGTTCTCTGTATTCTTTGTTCTAACATATTTTTCTTGATTATTAAAACACTATGCTTATTCTTCGAATTCTAATTCTTTCAAAAATGAAAGTTCTCTGTCCTCCCCTGTAAAATCAAAACAATATCATTTTTGGCTAAGGAGGAAGCTTTTAAAAAATATAGTCATGTAAAAAAAAATACCTTAAATATAATTCAGTTGTAATATCAGATCAATTCTTGGACTTATTGGGGTGATCACTTTGTAAGTTATATGAATGTCTAATCTCTGTTTTTTACCTGAAACTAATGTAATATTGTATGTCACCTAATTGAAAAATAATGAAAAAATAATTGTTGTATTACAATTAATATTTATTCATAAACAAAATAATTTAACAGCATCTAGATATTAAATTATTTTTAATATTTACCTAATTCTTCTTGCTTTTAATATTTTAGGCCACTTGATCATTCTGGCATTTTATGGTAGAGAATACATTGAGTTTGGCTCATGGAAAGAATATGAGGTAATTGATCACATGTTCTCTATAAATTTTAAATTATATGTATGCAAAATATAGAGTATTTTAACATGTCAGATAAGATCTTATGTTTGAATTTTTCAGTAACATTTTACAGTACATATGCGATTTTAAGATAGGTTTTCCTTTCCTGGTGGTCAGTAGTAGATAATACTGAAAGCGTTGAATAGCTAAGTTTTCTGTGGGGCTATAGAAACCACAAGAGAACTCCTCCTTCCTACCTGCCTTCCTATCCTGCCCCCAAGTAGGATTAATGGCATGCTGCATTGAAAAGTAGTGGCTAGCACACATAATTTATAGGGAACTAATAAGAAAGAGCATTGAGGCTCCAATAATGGGAAATTTCTAGGCACTACTCAGGCTCATTTAATGAGAAAACAAATATAAGATCCTTTGTTAGTTTTTTCCCATCTCTTTGGTACCCACGATGTATGGGTTTGGCAGTCTAAAATGGCAGTCAATTAAGTGTACATGCTACATGCATTCCCACAATTGTTTTACACATTATGAGACATCAAGCCTGTATCGGAGGGAATTAAAATTAAAGATAGTAAAGCACAGCAGTTATCTGTATGTAATCCGGTCATTGTCATGGTAGTGTTGGAGATCATTGGATTTTATTTATTTGGTGGAATAATTAGCTAACATAGTGCTGATGTCATAATTGTTCTACTCAATAATGGGTTGGTTATGTAGGAAGGTGCTAGAGTTTGGTGTGTGAACTTCTGCTTCCATTACAAGAGGCCTTAAGAAAGGTGAAAAGGGGTGGGGGCAGGGGTGAGGGTAGGCTGGGTTGTGGGAGGGGCATCACAGGGATAAGCTTTGGTTATGAGTACATGTAAACTGTTCATCTTTAATCTTTGAGATTATAATATTATATTTTCACACAGATTACTTCCTTACCTTTTCACATAGTTGAAATAAAATTGCTAGTCCTTTTCAGAGGATAAAACATTATTATTTTAACATTTCTTCGGTCTTCAGTTCCTATGAGAAGAGAAGTGTATAATCTGTTGGTTAGGAAACTTAACCCAGACTCAAGAATTAACTAGAGCTATCTATATCCTCCATTTCAAAACTGTTTTTTATAGAAGTCCTCCAAAAAGTGCACCAAATATTCCCTGATGTGTGTTCCAAGTTTTTATTCTTTTTTTGATATAAGGTTGTAAGAAAGATAAATTGAATAGTTTTGTGTCTTAGACATTTGTAACATAATTTATAACAAAAAAATTATGCATTTATATACAGAAGTTATAATTTAATAATTTTAATAATCTTTATTATGCTATATCTAAAGGGATTTAGTACCAACCTTTCAAAGAGTTTTCTAGGAAATCTTGCAACTTCATATTTCTCAAACCATTTGAATTGTCTGTATCAAACAGATAAATCTGACATTCTTTTTCCTAATCACTCAGTATTTAGATATGAACCTAATAACTGTGGAAGCTTGTACGGGCCTGGAGGAAGAAAAAAAGTTTCCATAGCATAATTCTCTTAAAATTGCTTACAAATAATGTTTATTAAAAATAGTTTAGAGAAAATTTAAAGTAAAAACCAAAAGATGTGTGGGTAGAATTCTTCTCTTGGGTAAGTAATGGGAGATGAGCTAAACTTGTATTATCCTGAGAAGCAATACAGAACAATTAATTATATATGTGTCTGTCCATCCCACTTTTTCTTTTAATACTAGAGGCCCAGTGCATGAAATCTGTGCATGGAAGGGGGTGTCCCTCAGCCCAGCCTGTACCATCTCCAATCTGGGATCCCTCTCACAATCCAGGACTGCTGGCTCCCAACTGCTCGCCTGCCTGCTTTCCTGATTGCCCCTAACCACTTCCTGCCTGCCTGCCTGATAACCCCCTAACCACTCTGCTGCCAGCCTGATTGATGCCTAACTGCTCCCTTGCCAGCCTGTTTGCCCCTAACTGACCTTCCCTGAAGGCCTGGTCATCCCTAACTTCCCCTCGCCTCCAACTGCTCTCCCCTGCAGGCCTGGGTCCCATCCATCTGCCTTTACCTGCAGGCCCAGTCACCCCCAACTTCCCTCCTTTACCTGCTTGGTCACCCCTGACTGCCCTCCCCTGCAGGCTTGATCACCCCCAACTGCCCTCCCTTGCAGGCCTGATCCCTCCCCTGCTTGCCTGATTGCCCACAACTGCCCTACCCTGCTGGCCATCTTATGTCCACATGGGGGCAGGATCTTTGACCACATGGGGGCAGCCATCTTGTGTGTTAGAGTGATTGATGGTCAATCTGCATATTACTCTTATTAGATAGGATAGAGGCCTAGTGCATGGGTGGGGGCCAGCTGGTTTGCCCTGAAGGGTGTCCCACATCAGGGTGGAGGTTCCCTTGTGGTTTTGGGTGGCCTGGGCAAGGGGCCTGTGGTGGTTTGCAGGCTGGCCACGCCCCCTGTTAACCCAAACAGAGGCCCTGGTATCTGGGATTTATGTACCTCCTACAATTGAAACTTTGTAGCCTGGAGCAGAGCCAAACCTCCTGCTTGCTCTGTGACTACAGTCATTTCTGTTGGAATTTGTTTACCTTCTATAATTGAAACTTTGTAGCCTTGAGTGGAGGCCTAAGCCTGCAAGGGCAGGTGGAAAGCTTTGCTTCCTGCATTGTTGGGGAAACCCACGCCTCCCTCCTGCTCTCTGTGGCTGTAGCCATCTTGGTTAGGTTTATTTACATACTCTCTCTGATTGGCTGGTGGGTGTGGCTTGTGGGTATAGTAGAGGTATGGTAATTTGCATATTACTCTTTTATTAGGATGATTTTTGGACCATTTACTTTGATAGCATTAAAATCCTTTATTATATGTAAAATAAGGTAGTTGACTTGTATAGGGGAATGATAGGGAAGGAATTACATTTGTTTTTACATATTATATACCATATACTTTACATTTATGTAGATAACACCTTACAAAGTTCTTTTGTGTGTGTAGTATCTTATTTAGCTTTTCCCAATTGGTCAGTTAGAGGATAGGGGTTGTCTCCATAATCTGGATGGGCAAACTGGAGACCCAGAGAGGTTCTAGCATGGGAACCGAGATGTTGTGACTTTTACTCTAGCATTCTTATCCACTATATCAGTAATTATATTCAAATTATTTAGTAATCCAAATTTGATTTTCGAATCAAACAAGTTCTTCAGGAGCTACCTTGGCACTGTTGGTGGCCTGTAGAGCAAAGCCCTTTTGGTCTTTTTCCCTTTGAGTAGTATTTCATAAGAAGATAGGATTTCAGAGCTGTTTTCCTTTCATTTTTGCAAAGCTTGTAAATTAGAGTGGCAATCTATGCCTGTTTTGTTCTTGCATTCTACTAAAAGTGATGATTAAGGTTGTATACCTTTTCCTTACTGACACTGTGGAGTTAGAAACAAGGGTTAAGCTTGGCATTTCTTTTATTTCTGTTCCTCTTCAATTAAGTTAATTTACTGAATTAACATAGTACACAGGATATATAAGTTTCTAGCTTTTTACCAGAGGCAATGACAATTGGTTTTAAAATAAAGGTATAGTGTCATGTTCAATTATTTTTCTACAGTTCATTCTGAACACAGAGAAGCACTGAAAAGGTCAGCAAAAATGGATATTGACAAGAGTGAGGAAAGATCAAAGCCATGGTAGTTACTTATTTAGTCTTGGGAACAGAGGAGAAAAAACTTAAAATCTGTCTTCATATTTGTATTTATCTTTTTTTGTTATAAACTTTTAGTGAAAATCAAAGTAGCAAAATGACAGGTATGTTAGAGACTTGCTATCATCTTAAAAGCTCAGCTGAAATTCAATGAGTTTAAATTATAGAAAGGGTAATTTCAATTTGTCATAAAGAATACATCCCTAAAATGTCAAATGAACTTTGTCTGGAATGGCAGTAGAGATATTTGGGTGGTCAAACTCCATAAAAAGATTCATGACCAGGATTGTTATTCAACTAAATATACATTTTATCTTTAAAATCTCTACCAAATGTAAAGTTCTTTGACTTTCGTTAACTATAATTGTGTTGCTAATTGCTTGGAAACTTAATGCAATATGCACATGAATATGCTATTATAACTTAAGAGGATACATGTAATTTATGGATATTCTTTTATTATTTTTCCAGAGACAAATTAAGATAAAAATTGCAAATGCATTTCCAATTTTGGATTATAGAAAGAACTATAATGCATTTAATCTAAGAGATACTATAAATTTAATCTTATGTGCACTTAAAAAATACTTGATAGAAATATAAAGGAAGCCACCAGTTGGTCAAGAATGTGAGAATGAATCTCTATCCTTTATCAAAGTAGTCTAGTGCAAACAGCTTACGGGTTTTTGAGTTAATCAAACCTGAGCTTGAATCTTGGTTCACCCACTTGTTAATTCAAAATCTTTATGTAATATGGGATAATTGTTGTCTTGCACATTTGTAAAAATTAATTAAGGGACATATGTGAAGTACATAATCCAATGCTTGGCACAGAGTAGTGCTAACAAGTGATAGTTCTCTTCATTTCCCCTGAAAGTCTTACAGTATCTCTAGAAGTTTGGTTCAGGAAACCAGTCGTCAGGGAAGGGATAAACTGGCATATTTTGGAGATAGGATTCAATATACTTCTTGCATTTACTATTTAATTTCTCATATTTTACTGTATCCTGTTATAGTCCACAGGAACTTACTGCTTTTTTAAATTAAGGAGAAACCAGTTTTGGACCTACCTTGAGCAAAAGCTTCATTATCAGACCCACTTTTACGAAGAAAGCCATAGAAAGTTATAAGTAGGAAACCACATGTAAAATAGAAAATATTCAGATCTTAACTCCTGGAGAAACTCCCTTTTATCAGAAGGAAGTAAATGTTTAATTTAGAGTTCAGTGTGATACATGCATTATTTCTTTCAATTTAGGGTCCATCAGTTCTCATTTTGTTTTATTTTAATTAACATAATTGTCTTAGATTCCCTCCAAATCACTACTTACCCTACCCCTCCCTCCTATCCCAGCTAACACTAGTCAGCTTACTATTATAGCTATCTTGTATTTCATTTGATAATTTTATAATGAAAACCAATATTTATTAGGTGCTACCCATGTGAGAGGCACTGAGCCCAGTACCTAATATATACTCACTTAACTTTCACATTATCTCTCTGAGGAAAGTAGGTCCTACAGACCCATGATCCCTTATATTCACTTGTGAATTTCAAAAGGCTTTAAAAAATCACCAGTTCCCTAAGTTTGTGGCAAAACTAATTTAGCCTCAAAACAACTCATAGTTAGTTTTTTCCCATCTCTTTGGTACCCACGATGCATGGGTTTGGCAGTCTAAAATGGCAGCCAATTAAGTGTACATGCTACATGCATTTCCATAATTGTTTTGAAATCAATTATTCAACTTGGATAGTGGATGGGCATATGAACAGCGACTATCCTCAGGACTGGCTGTGAATAACATCCAGGAATACCACTACCCTGTTCCCCCTCTGGGGACTCTGGTAACTTTGGGGACCACTTAGGTTGCCACAACAATTGGGGAGCCACTTTGGACCACTGGTTTTGAGTTAGTCAAACCTGAACACTCTGAACATTCATTCATTTAGCTACAGGAATGTTAATGTATATGATTATGGGTTTCTGCTCTAGATCCACTTGGGGTGTAATATATCTGGTAGTACTTTCTAAAATTCAAACTTTCTAAGTCATGTGAGACATATAGTCCAGGGGCTAGGAATAGGGTATTGTGAACCTGTTTCATTATCCTGTTTTATATATGAGAAGACCGATGCTAGAGGGTGTTCAGTAAATTGCCAAGGTTTGAATGGTATGTTAAGATAGGGGTGTCGAACTCAATCAGAGAAGGGGCCAAAATCTAAAATCCAGCCTAAATCGCAGGCCGAATGGTTTACTGAACAGTCATAAACTGTCATTGTGATGGAAACGCAGCGAAGTGCAGTGATGACAGCGCGGTGTGGGCCACATTGCAAGGCCTGGCGGGACGGATTTGGCCCGCGGGCCTTGTGTTTGACTCATGTGTGTTAAGATGTTAAGTAAATTACTCAGGTAATGCATGATAAAGCCAAACTTAAACTCAGCCTAGACTCTAAAACCGCAACACTGTTTTGCCACCCAATTGGCAAGGCAAGATCGAGCTTAGTTTGGCACAATGTTTATGTCTTAAGTTGACACAATTGCTTAACTTTATTAATAGAAGAAGGTATAAGAGAATATAAATCCTCTTATAATTTATATTTGGATGAGTAATTTTATGCTTTTCTACATATCTTGGATAGATGATTCTGATCCTAGAAATCCCTTCAATATAATGAGCACAGTCACAAAGGCCTCTCGCGTCAAGGAAGACAATTGTCTAGTTTCTCTATTGTCACTCTTCATTATTTTATACTAGAGGTCTAGTGCATGAAATTCATGCATAGGGAAGGGGGTGTCCCTCAGCCTGGCCTGCACCCTCTCCAATCTGGGATCCCTCTCACATTCCAGGATTGCTGGCTCCTAACTGCTTGCCTGCCTGCCTATCTTATTGCCCCTGCTTCTGCCTGCCAGCCTGATTGCCCCCTAACCATTCCCCTGCCAGCCTGATTGATGCCTAACCACTCCCCTGCCAGCCTAATTGATGCCTAACTACTCTCCTGCCAGCCTGATCACCCAACTGCCCTCCCCTGTCAGCCCAATTGCCCCAAGCTGCCCTCCCCTGCTTGCCATCTTGTGAGGCCATATTGTGATGAACATCTTGTGACAACATGAAGGCAGCATGCGAGGGTGGGAGGACCACCTAGGCTTTTGTTAGTATAGATTATTTGTCTCTCACTAAAGCTAGAAGTTGCTTGTTTTGACTTTGTTCAACAAATAATTACTTAATGCCTGCTATGTAGTAGGCTAGAAATACAATAATGAACAAGAAACTTTGGTTTCTGTCTTAATGGGTACACTGTTGTCATTGTGGATGGGACAGTGCTTGGTGGGGTCCCCAGTAGCAGCATGTTTAGCAGATGTGGTCCAAAGTGGCTCCCTAATTGTTGTGGCAACCTAAGTGGTCCCCAAAGTTATCAGAGTCCCCAGGTGGGGAACAGGGTAGTGGTATACCTAAATGTTATTCACAGTCAGTCCTGAGGATAGTCACTGTTTATTTGCCCATCCACTATCCAAGTTGAATAATTAACTGATTTTAAGCATTTCTTTTTCTAGAATCCTGGCTTCATTCAAAGTAAACAGAGCTGAGAGAGCTTTCAAATAAGTAACTAAACTGCTCACACTCTGGAGTGGTGCAATAACTAAATGGAAAAGCAAGATTAATTGTGGGTACTTTTAACCATAGCTAATTGAAAATTCTCATTATACTCTTTAAATAATGAGCATAAGTTAGGCTCCTAAGTTATCATACCAAGTGATGCTGGATTTTTTTGAGTGACAGAATCAAAGTCTCTAGGACTTTACATATGCAATTTATTTCACAAAGAAATATAATATAGCATATTTTTGCCAAGTATATATTATAACACACAAACATTTCTGCTTTACTTTTATTTTTTAAAGTGACATTTTAAAGAAATCATAAATTCAAGTGATTTGTGTATAGAAACTATGATTTTGAATTTATCATTTTTAAGAAGAATAAATATACATTTTCATTTGGTATACATATCAACTGATTTTTAATTAGCATTTTACATTAGAAGTAATAACACTTGGAAGTTTATAGGACCTCAGGTTTATGACAGTTGACATCATCCTATATAATAAAACGCTAACATGCAAATATACTGAACAGCAGAATGACCAATGGCTATGATGTGCACTGACCACCAGGGGCCAGATGCTCAACCAGAAGCTGGACTCATGGCTGGTGAGCGCAGCAGCAGTGGAGGGTGCAGGCTTAAACCAGCAGTTGGACACCCCGAAGGAGTCTTGCATTGTGAGAGGCCAGGTTTAGGGACCCCATTTCCCAGTGCATGAATGTCATTCACCAGGCCTCTAGTTTTAAATAAAAATAATTTTATTGTATTATGATAAAAAAAAAATATGCTCATTGTAAAACATTCTGAAAATTCAGAGAGTTACAAAGAAAGGAGAAAGCAAAAAAATACCATCCTCATTCTGCTTGATGATGACTACACATCTACTCATGAGATTACTGTCACATTTTCTCAGGATTTCTGTTGCAGTGAGTGCAACTATGCTCACACTGGTGCTCTTGGCTGTGCTTCTGCTCACATATTTGCTCTCTCTCTTTACAAATTCAAACCATATAAAAATTGGGTCATAAAATTTGTTTAACTTTGATAATCATATCTTGAACATTCTATCATGGTAATAAATAACATTTTATATCTTTTTATTGGCATATGAATGTATTAATTTAAGCAATTCTCTAAGTAGACATTTAAGTGGTATCTTATATTTTGATATTATGATTAATTGTATGTACATTTTTGTGCAGCTGTTAATCTCCTTTATATGAATTTTTAGGAATAGAATCACTGACTAGAAGATCAGGGCACATTTTGAATGTTTTTATCAACCAGCAGATCGATTTCTAGAAAGGTCATATCATTCACTGTATGCTCTCTGACACTGGCATGATCAGTCTTTGTAAAATTTTTCTTTTGAGGGGGATATTTTTGCCAATCTGATAGTTGAATAAAAATCTCACTTTGATTTGCATTTTTAAGTAATGAATGACTAAAAAAAATAAGTAAAATCATGTTTATCAGCTATTTGTATTTTTTTGTTGACTATCCATATATATCTTTAGCCCATTTTCCTGTTGGGCAATTTATTTTCCTCCTCCTCCTTTAAATTTTTAGACCTCTTCATAAGGATGTGAGCTTTTATTTATAATTCATAATGCACATATTTTGCCATTTAAAAGTATTTTCTTTTTTTGTTTTATTTTAAAGATATGTTGGTTTCATTTTGTTTTTCCACTTGATATTTCCACATTTTAATATGACCCATTATAATTCATAATGACTCAGTAAATGAATTAAGGATTAGTCTTTTTAAAAAAATGATACTTCTTAGATGGGAAGCCATTTTTGTAGATGAGAAAGGTGATGAATTGCTCACATAATTATATATGTCCGCTGCAATTACAATTTCAATTGCTGCATATAAAATAGAAATTATGGGAGGGAGATATTTTGCTATAGTTGAAAGATTCCTTACTTTAAATGCCAGGCAGTCCTGGCTTTATTTATTTGTTCTTCAACTTAGATAACAAATATTTAAGTACTATTATATATTAAAAATTCATAATGGTTTCACTATTTACTGTTGTGTGACTCGGGCAGTTTACTTAACTCATCAGTATTTTGACTCAATTTATTTATTTTTAAAAGAGGGATAATACCTACCTTGTTGAATTATTACAAGGATTATAATTTTCCTAAAGTATCTAACAGCACCTTACATATAATCAGACAATAATAAACATTTAGTGTTGATGCTGTTATTCTTTATAGTAACCGAACATACTGTACTTTTAACCTGTTATTATATACCAGAAGCCCAGCACGTGAAAATGCACGGCTGCTCCCACCTGCATGGTCTTGCTGTGCTCACAGCCCCACCCACCTGCACCGGTCTTTGGTTGTTTTGGCGTTAGGGCCACTGGTTTTTTATAATATAAACTAGAGGCCCGGTGCATGAAATTTGTGCCCAGGAGGGGGAGGGTTCCCTCAGTCCAGCCTGCACCCTATCTAATCTAGGACTCCTTGGACATTCCTTTTACAATCCTTGACCGCTGGCTCCTAACCACTCGCCTGCCTGCTTGATTGCCCCTAACTTAACCCCCTGCCAGCCTGATCACCCCTAACCGCCCCTGCCTGCCAGCCTGATCGCCGCTCACTGTCTCCCCTCCTGCTTGCCTGGTCGCCCCATGCAACCTGTGTATGGTCATCTGTTCAGTTGTGATGGTCACTTAGGCTTTTAAATAGATGGATAATATTGCTGTGGTAGTAATTTTGCATGTGGGGTAATTAATTGTGGTTAATATAATTTTATTAGTAGAGAAAATAGAGCCTACCTAGGTTGACTATACTTAGGATCTGTTAAATACTTTTTTATTTTTGTAGTAGAGGCCTGGTGCATGAAATTCACCCAAGGGAGGGTGTGTGTGTCCCTCAGCCCAGCCTGCACCCTCTCCAATCTGGGACCCCTCAAGGGACATCCCTCTCACAATCCAGGATTGCTGGCTCCCAACTCTTTGTCTGCCTGCCTGCCTGATTGCCCCTAACCTCTTTTGCCTGCCAGCCTGATCACCCCCTAATCACTCCCCTGCCAGCCTGATCAATACCTAACTGCTCCCCTGCCAACCGGATTGCCTCTAACTGCCCTCCCCTGCTGGCCTGGTTGCCCCAACTTCCCTCCACTGCTGACCCAGTCACCTCTAACTGCCCTCCCTTGCCAGCCTGGTAGCCCCTAACTGCCCTCCCCTGCAGGCCTCCTCCCCCTCAATTGCCCTCCTCGGGCCTGGTCACCCCCAACTGTCCTCCCCTGAAGGCCAGGTCACCCCTAACTGCTCTTCCCTACAGACCTAGTGGCCCCTAACTGTTCTCCCCTTCTGGTCTGGTTGCCCCCAACTGCCTTCCCCTGCGGGCCTAGCTCTCCTCAACTGAACTCCCCTGCTGGCCTGATTGCCCACAACTGCCCTCTCCTGCTGACCATCTTGTGGCAGCCATCTTGTGTCCACATGGGGGCAGACATCTTTGAACACATGTGGGTGGCCATTTTGTGTGTTGGAGTGGTGGTAAATTGCATATTATCTTTTTATTATATAAGATAGTAGTTTAGTTTTCAAAGTTTTTTACTTATTTTATATCTTATTTGTTCCATACAGTTTTCCTTTAAGATAAGCAGGGCCTGTATACTTTTCCATTTTACAACTGAGGAACTGAGACCTAGAGAGAATGATTGATTTATCCAAGGTCATATGGCTTTTATGTGATTAATCAGGTTCATATTTTCCTCCCACCTATATTTAAGATTCTCACTTATCCTAGATTGATGCTCATTATGGGAAGGGACAGAGAATGGAAGATAGATAGATAGATAGATAGATAGATAGATAGATAGATAGATATGCCTAAGTGACCATCACAACTGAAACAACTGAATGGACGACTGAACAGGCTGTGTGGGGCAATCAGGCTGATATGGGGGGTGAAGGGGGGGCAGTGAGGGGTGACCAAACTACCGAATAGCAGGCTGCATGGGGCAACCAGGCTGTCAAGGGGAGAAGTTAGGGGTGACCAGGCCATCACGGGGGAGCAGTGAGGGGTGATCAGGCAGGCAGGCAGATGAGCATTTAGGAGCCAGTGGTCCCGGATTGTGAGAGAGTGAGAGGGATGTCTGGCTGCAAGTTTAAACTAGCAGTTGGACATCCCCCAAGAGGTCCCTGATTGGAGAAGGTAGAGGCTTGGCTGAGGAGACTCCCCTCCCCCATGTACGAATTTTATGCACCTGGCCTCTAGTCTGACTAAAATTGCCCAGTCTTCATTTATAATAGGTTTAGCCATTTTATAGTTTTTTGTGTTGCTCCCATTTCAGTCACCTGAACGTTGGCCTTAATGTCTTAGTTGTCTATATCAGTGATTTAAAGAAAAATAAAAAGGAAAGAAAAAAGGATCAAGGGAAAGAGGGAGGGAGGGAGGAAGGGAAGGAAGAAGGGAGAGAAGAAAGAAAGGGAAGAAAGGGGGAGAGAGAGGGGGTGGGGGAGAGAGAGAGAGGAAGAAAGAGAGGAAGAAAGAGAAAAAATAAAAAGTTTATTTGAGCCAAACAGATAACATATGCTTGGGAGCAAGATCTCAAATGCTCCCTATAGCTGTTATTTTTAACCTTTTTAAAAAATCTTATGGCATACACAAACTACTAAAATTTTGTAGCACACCAAAAAATAATTTTTGCTGATCTGACAAAATTATATGTATAATTTTGATTGATATAAAAAAGTAGTAATTATCTTTTTGTTCCAAAGTGACTTTCTAAAAATCATCTTCCTATACTTGTATATAAGCATTTCTGGTACCAAGAATTAGCTATTCAGATGCAACCTTATTATGTGATGTGATCAATAAGATGCAACTGGATTATTATAACCTATATATTTATGGTTCAAGACAGGGCATTCATACCGATAGTTATGATTGTATTGATTGTGGTGGGTTGTTTGTTTGTTTGTTTGTTTGAAATTTGACAATCTAAAGGAAAAGAGGTCAGTACCCCTGACTAGTTAGGTGTTGCATGTTTCAGAGATCCTTGCAGCATACCAGTTGAAAATTGCTGTTCTGTAGCATTGATGGTGGTTATAAGTGAATCACATCTTGGGATATTCTTTCCTGTGCAAAGATCCTTTCCTTTCAATCTGGACTGGGCCAGTAGCTTACTTTACAAAACAGAATGCCACAGAATTAAACTCTTCCAGGTCTGGATGTAAGCCCTAAGAAGACCAAGTAGCATTGGCTTTAGTGTTTTGGGGAGACCTGAATTATCATGTAAGAAATCTGGTTCCCTTCCCAGAGAGACCATTGGGAAAAGAGTTCACATGGAGACAGAGGCCCTGAGATTGCATGGAAAGAGCAACCTAGTTACCCTAGTATTCTAGCTGAGCCCACCTCCCCACTGCCTGCTAAAAGCAATCACGAATGACCATCAGCAAGAGAATCAGAATTGCCTAGTAAGCCCAACTTAGCCTGCAGCATTATGAACAAATAAAATGGTTGTTTTCTTGAGCAAGTAAGTTTTGGGATGTTTTGTTACACAACAATATAAAAAGCAAAAAGAAGCATAACTGTTCTTGAAAACAAAACTTTTGCTAAAGGATATTTACTTTGCTTGTCCTCTTTTGACAGTTTTGGGCTTTCTATAGCTTGCAAATATCATGCAATATTGAAGAGAGATAATAGTAATAAATAATTCTTTTCCTTTACAGAAGCTCACCTTACTCTTCCACAACTACATGGGTTTGGCTGATACTTGGGTGAATCTGAGGTAAACAATCTCTCCATACTGATTCTCTTCAGAGAGATCTCAGGCAACAGGGTGCTTTCTGTGATCTGGGCTCTGACTCCTCTTTTCCATTAAATTTCTTACTCCCAGTCCTGTGACTCTTTTCTCCCTGTCAGAGTTGAATTGGATTTGGCCTGGGTCAGCCAAGTAAGACAAGATGGAGTAGTCTTTTTTCCACACTTGCACTTATTTCTGTTGTCCAGAAAAGACTTGGCCAAGTCTTTTGAGGCTGAGATTGGATCTAAGACCAGGAGTCACCTTATTTTTTATCATTTACATATTAGTTAGCAGGGAATATATTGAGCCATTGCTCATACAGTTTATTTTTCCCTCCCACAGATTAGAGTCTCTCCTATTTAACTTTAAATATTTAAATAGGTTCCCCCCCCCCATGTTTCTACTAGAGATAAGAATCAATGATCCCAAAATTTATAAGTATAATTTTTAAAACATTTTTTGTTAAAATGCTTTTTGTGTTAAAAATTATAAGATGATAGATTTAAAATTCTCAAGATTGATTGTCTTTCACATTCACTTATTTGCTCTCCCTCTAAAACAACAAAAACATGGACAAAACAATTACAACCAACCATTTCAAAATTCTGACAGTTAACCAGAGAATGAACTGAAAATCCCTGGCCCAGGAGAAAACTACTGAACCATGAGAAGACAGTGGAGTCTGTGACATTTTAACTTGAGGCGATTTCAATCTTTCCTCTTTCCCCAGCTTAGTGCTATAGCAAAAGCTGGCAGCATTACAGACAGTGGAGAGATATGACCACTTTTGGATATTCATTAAAATCACCAGCTCCGAAGCACAGTTGATATGTTTTCCAAGCTTGCAGCTCCCTAGGAAAACTCTGTTCTCAGAGAGTGGTTGACTATTTGATTTGACTCAGAGCTCAGCCCAGTTGGGGGAAGAAAAGGCCTACCTTCACGGCTTTGCTGAAACAACAGCAACTGTTGGCAACATATCCACTGCTTAAAGCTGTGATTTCATTTGGGGCAAATAAGAGTCTGCCCCGGATTTTAAAAGGAAATCTACGAGAATTAGCCAACCCAAGAGTATTTTGAAAAGCTCCAACATATTCATGGGAATCTGAAAGGTTGCACAGTGTGCAAAGGTGTGCACATGCCCAGGAAAGACCTGGGGAAGGAGATCACCTATGGCTGAGGTTTTATGTAAGTAGAAAAAGAATGCTAGGGCTGTCTTATAAATTGCCTGAATTTCAAAGGTGTGACTACTGGTAGAATTTCTTGGGCAAAGCATGGAAGACATACAGGCAAGCATTTAAGGAAATCTTCTAACCCAGTGGTTGGCAAACCGCGGCTCGTGAGCCACATGCGGCTCTTTGGCCCCTTGAGTGTGGCTCTTCCACAAAAGACCACATGCAGATGGGCATGTACAATGCAATTGAAACTTTGTGACTCATGCTTAGAAGTCGGTTTTTGACCTGATTTTGGCCAAACCACACTCAAGGTGCCAAAGAGCTGCATGTGGCTCGAGAGCCGCGGTTTGCCAATCACTGCCCTAACTAATCATTGGTTGACCACTAAGTTATACTGATCTAGTATGACTCCTAAGAAGCTAGGCTTAAATATAATAAGAACTTAAAAAAAAAAATTAGTAGAGCAGTGGCCAGCACTCTACAGGGAATACAGAATCTACAAAATTAGTTCATAAAAGTGCTAAACAAATAAGCATTATCAATAAAAACAAAATCAGTGTTAAAAAATCTTGGTGGGGCAGTGTGGAGAATTTGATACTACAGTTGTTAAAATACATGATCTAAAATATTCAGTTTTCAACAAAATATTGAGTCATTCATGAAATAGGAAAGTATGCTACATACACAGGAAAGACGAACACAAACATCAGCCAACAGAAATAATGTCCCTTCGGGATCTCAGATTTGGGCTTAATAGACAAAGACTTTAAGTCAGTTTTTATAAATATGTTCAAAGAACTAAATGATACCATGTAAAGAATTAAAGAAAGGTATAAGAATGATGTCCTGCTAAAGAGAATATCAGTCAACATAGAAATTATTTTAAAAGTACCATTTTTTTTCTTTGTAACTTTTCTGTCCTGTTTTAAAAGACAACTGCATGAAGCAGTAATAATAAATCTTTGTTGATGGGCTTATCTACACTAATAAAAGAAATATGCAAATTGGCCACATTTCCACGATGCCCACCAGCCAATCAGGAGTGGGTATGCAAATTAACCAAACAAAGATGGCTGATTGATTTGCATATGCAGGCACAGAGTGAAGACTGAAGAGGCTGGCCTGAGTGGAGAACCCAATCCTCACTGTGGCCGGAGCAGAGAAGCCTAGCCTCGAGGCTTGGCTTCTCCATTGTGGCCAGAGTGAAGGCCTGAGTCCCAGGTGCCGGAGGAAAACCAGTGCCAGCAGCCAGGGGATGGAAGGCCTATTGCACGAATCTTCATGCAACAGGCCTCTATTAACATATAAAGTTATAGTTTGACAATAATAGAAAGAAAGGTAAGGGAATGGAGATATACTACAGGAAATTTTTTTTATATATTATTAAAATTTAAATTAGTATGTTTTAGGTTAAAATGCTAATTGTAAAATGCAGCCACTTAAGGGAATAACAGAAATTCAGTGAAAGAAACAAGGAATAAAAAGGTTACAATAGGAAATATCTAACACAAAACGGGGCAGGGATTAAGGGATATATGATATTAGAGAACTGAAATATTCTCTTATAGAGGTTATAAGGTGTATTTTTCACATTAAGTCATGCATTTATATAATTTTTTACCACTAGTACATTTTGATTCATGGAGCCTCTTAAGGACTTAATTTTATGATACTACTAGACACTTCTCAATAGATTTTTAAAATATGGTATAAGAAAAATGCACCAATTTCAAGTCAATGCAAAAAGATTTTATTAACCCTAGTTCTTAAATATTGGCTTTGTTTCCCTGGAGATGAAACAGCAGTATACAGAAATGAGAGATTCCTTTGATTTTGTTCCTGATATTTGAATATGGAAAATTTATTTTCTTCCTCTAAAAATGGGGGGTGAAAGATGAACAAAGGACTTTGGAGGATAGAGAAGATAATGGGGAAAAAGGATCTGGAGATAAATGAACATAAAAAAGGGCTGTTGAAAAGAGAAATATCCTGGGCAGAATATTTCAGAAGTCTTGAGAAGTATTTTTTTTTTTTTTTTTTGGTCTGCTTTTTCATATATTATTGGTTCTGCTTTCCAAAGGTATCCAGCCCAGTGGAGATGTGATCTCATATGCCTTTAGAAACTTAAACCCATGTTTAGCTTTCTGGTATGAAGGTTTACTTATATCAAACAATATATTTATATAATTTCCTTATTATAGAAAAAGTGTTTCAAATGAATTTTCTTATAAATGAGCTAAACTATCATTTAAAAATGACTTCTCAATCTGTTTTCAGTCCCAGCACAGTTGAAGAATAAAGCATAGTTGCATCAGTAATGATGACTCACTCAACTGGGAGCATCTCTCTGGGTGAGAATAATAAGATTTTAAAAGACTTCTGAACAGTTCTGATATGGTATACCTTCTTTTCATTATAAATTTAAACCATAGATTGAAACCATTACAGAAATTGGTATTATTAAGAGATGACAAAGATTAAATTTAATCTACTCATGTGAAAACTTTTTTCTTCAGTTATATTAAAACTCTCCAACACTTCTATTAACCTTACCAGAGTTTTCAAGACATATTTCTTATTATTTTTTAAAACCTTATCAACAATGTTAAGTGTGCAGTACAATAGAGTTAACTGTTTGCACACAGATCCCTAGAACTCTTTCATCTTAACAACTGAAACCCTCTTCCCTTTGAAGAATAATTCCCTTTTCCCCTTCCCCTCAGCCTCTGGTAATCATTATTCTACTTTCTAAGAGTTTGGCTACCGTACTTTAGATATTCTATGTAAGTGGAGTTATGCAGTCTGAGTGTTTTTGTGACTGTCTTATTTTACTTAGCATAATGTCTTCAGCTTTATCATGTTGTAGTTTATGACAGATTCCCTTTTATTTTTTTAAGCTGAGTTCTGTTCAATTGTATTTTATGCTACATTTTTTTTATTGGACATTTAGGTTGTTTTTACATCTTGGCTCTTGTGAATAATGCTGCATTGATCATGAGTGTACAAATATCTCTTAGAAATCTTGATTTTAGTTCTTCTGGGATGTACTAGTATATCCAGAAATGAGATTGCTATATTGTGTAGCAATTCTGTTTTTAATTTTTTTTAGAAACTTTTATACCATTTTTTATAATAGCTGCACCATTTTACATTCCCACCAACAGCATACAAGGTTTATAATTTCTCTAGAGCCTCACCAACACTTGTTACTTTGTTTTTTAAGAAATAAAATTTTTTTTTATACTGGCCATCCTAATCATTCTTACTGCTAACATGTAAGGCCTTTATTTACTTATTTTTCACTTTCTTAAGAAACAGAATAGTTATTTTAGGAAATTTCCTATAATTATTGCAAATCTTCACACTGTTCCCTGACATCAAACTCTAGAACACCATTTGGGGCCAATGTTTTTGTTTTGCTTTTTAAGGACTGCTTGCCTTAATAACATCATCAAAATGGTGATTGCTGTCTCTAGGTGGATTATCTGCTCTGGTTTCCAAGCAGTCCATAAATGCCACATTGAGTGTATTACTTCAGTGTATACCTAATGTGTTCTTCAACTCTCTCTGAACATGGTTGTTTCCATGCATCATCTGCTTGTGAACCTTGCTGCCAGCCAATCTCCATAGATGTCTTACTGAGTAGGGTTGTGCTGCCAAAGACCAGCTACCCTCTAGTATATTTGATGATCCTGACTAGCCAGTTAATAGTATGTATAGTTTATAGGTGATGTTTATTATTATGTTCAAGACAACAGATATAATGCTTATAATCTATTTAGTTCTCACAGCTATTTATATTTCAGCATTTTCTGTTTTGCATATGCTTGGATTGAATTAGGACCTCAGAGTTGCTTCTAACCTCTCTGACACTTTTAAAGACAATACTGTAACATCGTAAGATTGAACAAAAAGAAACACTTTGAATATGTATTAAAGTTTTGACTCTGCCACTTGTTGATTTACCTTTTGATGTGTCTTATCCTCTCTGAGGCAGAAATCTCATCTGTAAATGGACTATAATGATAATTACCTTTTATTTTTATGGCTTCATTAATATTGTGAGCTTGTGTTTTTTTAGGAAGCCTTTTAACCAAGGAGCCTATCACGTTAGAATTTCCTTCCTTCAAATAGTGAAGGTGAAGGGCATTTCATACTCAGTGGTACTTTTTTAAATCCTCACTCTAGGATATGTTTTCATTGATTTTTAGAGAGAGAGGAAGTGAAGGAGGGAGGAAGGGAGGCAGTGTTTTGTAATAACTTGCCTTTATCAAATCTATTTAAGCTTTTGATTTAGTTTTTAAAGATACCCTTTATTTTTGTTTTTATGGTTTATCTGATGTTTAATCATTTAGCTAATTTTAATTTCTTTATTGATTAATGTATCACATATTTGTCCTTATCCCCTCATTTCCATCCCAAACCCCTCCCCAAGAATTCCCCCACTCCCCTGTTGTCTGTGACCACTGGTTACACTCATATGGATGCACACAATTCCTTTGGTTGATCTCTTCCCCTTATCCCCACCCTCGCCTACCTTCCCTCTGAGATCCGATAGTCTGATCCATGCTTCCTTGTCTCCAGGTCTATTCTTGTTCATCAGTCTATGTTGTTCATCATTTCCCCTAGATGAGTGAGTTCATGTGATACTAGAAATACACTTATAAGAACCGAAAATGAAACAAGCAACAATGGTTATGCTGAGAGGCAAATGAATCAGTCTGTAGTGAGTTTCTTTCTAGGCCAACAGTTCTTTTGAGTGCCAATTTCAATGTCAAACAGTTCCTTATGTGTACATGTAGCCATGATATTTCAGTTCTGGATGATGGACAAATGGTGATAATGCAGGTCCGACCCGATATATATATCTGAGAAGCAATCTTGACTAGCCTTCACATACCCAAATTATAGACTCCCTCTTGCCATTTCCTCTCCAAACATCCCAACAAATGCCCATGGCAGGAAGAAAACTCAGTCTGTGGGCTATAGTGGGACCCTCACAGTTCCACTCCCAAATGCTGAGCTGTATGTTCTCCCCAAACCAGTAGTATTTATTCCAAAACTCCAGCTCAGCATTTGGGAGTGGAACTGTGAGGCTCCCACTATGGCTCAAAGACTGAGTTTTCTTCCTGCAATGGGCATCTGTTGGGATGGTTGGAGAGGAAATTGCAAGTGAGGGTCTATAATTTGGGTAAGTGAAGGCTGGTCGAGATTGCTTCTCAGATACATATATATATATATATATATATATATATATATATATATATATATGTGTGTGTGTGTGTGTGTGTGTGTGTGTGTGTGTGTATTGTATAAGTTTATAGATTTCTATGATCCATTTATTTTTATAGCCCGTAAATTGATGCATGTTTTAGACTTTTTGTTGGTCTGTAAGTAGTCTTCTTGGCCCATTTCCATGGGCCATGCATATCTGCACTAATAAAAGAGAAAGATGCAAATCGACCGTACCTTCTCGACACCCATCAGCCAATCAGGAGTGAGTATATAAATTAACTCAACAAAGGTGGTGGGTTGATTTGCATACACAACCGCCAAGCGGCCAGGGGCAGGATGCTTGCTTTGTCACCATGGTGATGGAGCAAAGGCAGTGCCAGCAGCCAGGGGAAAGAAGGCCCATTCTTGCATTAATTTTTGTACATTGGGCCTCTAGTATGCATATAAGATGAAATTTGTTTTTAATTACTTTCAGATCTCCTGAGTCAATATTATGAAGAAAGCAGAGAACCCACCAAGTAGTTCATATGAAAGATGTATGCCTTTCATTCTTCTTATTTATTTACTTACTTATTTATTTATTTAATTTTTTTATTCTTGATTCCAAACAGGAGTGTAGCAACTAATTCTTGTAAAGCAACTAATTCTTGAAGTAGAAAACATATGAAAATGTTCTTTCCCAGCCTGAGACTGGCTTTTGCTCTGTCTTATAGTACTACTTTGATTTTGGGGGAAACTAGTCATGTGTGGGACTAATTCATTTCCACATATCCTGATGACCATTCCTGTCAAAGTGCAGGTGAAGTATTTGCCCACCTTTGAGATCCTGAAATCTGGCCTACTGAAGTGCAAACATTGCTCTTTGGCTATATTCTGGATTATTTTTGATTGAGCTGCTTTTTAAAATATTTGTTTTAATTATTTGTATATTTTTAACTACATTGCTAATTTCACAGAGGGAAAGGGCCTAAATAGCCTGTCTGAATCAATTGTGGATCATCTCGTTACTGCAATAGCTGGACTGTAGTACTGCTATGAAATATTAATTCAAAACTACCTAATGCTAAGAAAGTAACTATTGCATAATAGCATGAGGATATTGTACATTGTTCAGTAACAGCAGTACTAGTTCCACTGAAATAGCTCAGATATGGATTTGATATTGCTTAGTCTTCATTGTTCAGTGACACAGCAAATCAGTCATTCCACCAACAAAATAATAGATGCTAAAGCTGATGAAGAAAGAAGGAATGTTGCTTAAATACTTAAGATGGAATAAAGTTTTTGTTAGTGGTAGGCTCTAATCCCACATATTAGATATGCATAGTATAAATTGTGAGCCTGTTTAAATTTTACTCTTCTGTCTGGAGAAGTATTTATAAAAGTAATGACAATTTTAACTTTGTTCATAATTAAATTGAGGACACAAATTACACATAATAATTATAGAATAGGTTTTGAATGGTAACTAGATGCTAGTGATATGTATGTGTTTTATCATTTTATAGAGACACAATCTTTCTAGAGTGGCATTATCTATATTTTTATCTGTGAGAAAAACAGACTAAGAACACGGCTGACTTGCCCAAGATAATTTAGCAGGTAATGGAGTTGGGATTTGAACAGTAGTCTGTTTAACACTAAAAGCCCAACCTTTTAACTACTACTTTACACCTTAATATCCGGTGCTTTAATATTTCTGGCCTGCTTTCAAAAACTTCTCTCTTCCTGTTAATTCCAGAGATAACATTCAGTAACTTGACAACAATGACCTTTCTAAACAAATATAGAGTGTTACAGAACCAGATGGCCAAAGATTATATTTTATTTTTCTGGCTCAACATAAATTGACTGATAAAATCCAGAAAAGATCCTTCTGTGTCCTAGGACTTCATCAGGCCACATGGCAAACCAGTGCCCTTTATCAGGAGCCAGTCATGAGTACAGAACCTTATGTCTTTATACCGTAATTTAGATTAGGGCCTAATGAAAGGGCAAGAAGCTGGTTTACTAAATGAGATCATTCTGCACTTTAGTAGTGGCAGTGCTTTGGGTAGGGAGTTTCTGAGGAATTAAAGACAGAAAGGCAGTTAGTGCTACTGTCTGTGCCATTAAG